TATATATATAAATAATCAGATTTCCAATCCCGCAGACAGGCATAACTGATTTCCTTTCACATGGAACAATTTCCCCAAGACTCCAACACAGCAAATGATGAATGAAGTTAGGAGCACCTCTTTTATTCATGGGAGATATGTTTCCTCCTTTAAAGTATTCCAGGAACTTTAATTAAGGCTCTGAAGCTTTCAGTGTATCCTTAAGTTTTCCATGTAAATGGTGGAAAGCAGGGAACTTGCTGTTGAGTCAACGGCAAATGCTCTTGTACAGTGTACTGGAGTGGATGCTGTCAAGAGGCAGGGCTTAATGTCTACCTGCTGAGTACTCACTAGATGCTTGTTCAATTGAATTTAGTAACTTGGGAAGGTACCTGAAAATAAGCAGCAATCTTCACTCTCAGATGGCCTTAGTTCCTTCTGTACTTCTAAGTGTTGGATTCTGGGCTCTAGAAACTGTGACTTCTGCCAGCTCTGATGGATTTCTCATCTCGTTATCGAGTTACTGAGTGATTTCTCATACTGTATACTGCACCCATGAGACAGAACACAGTGATCTACCTCGGGGTAAGTTCCTAGTGACCTTGATTTATGATTCATAACTCTTATGGACTGCTTTCCCAGAATATTTATCCTGCTGTTTCTGCAGGAAGAAAAGGGAGAGGGAGTGTGTGTGAGCACAATATATCTTCACACATTCAGTATGTCATTACAAATTTGTCCTTGCAAGCTACAAAGCTCCACTCATCGAACCTACCTGCAGATGTCCTGCAGCAGTGACCCCTGTCCTGTGCAGTGGTGCTGGGAACAGCATGCATTCTGCTTTCAACACCCGTTCATCTCCCTGAGGAGCTCCGTTCTACATGTGGTGTGAAGAGTCCCACTGTATTAGGGAGTACATAGTCACCTGTTCAGAGAGAAATGTTCATTGCTCACAAGAGCACAGGACAGACAACATTCTTGGTATTGCACACTTGGATGATCACTTCCACCCACTCCAGTCAAGCAGGCAGCTCATTCCCATGTTGGAGATGGTATAATTCTGCAAAATAGTCAGTGCTGTTCTGTCTGACAGCTAAGGGATCAGTGAGTGGGCTTCTCAGCTCTGCCAGAGTACCAGTACATTCCACGTGGGGGAAAAGCATGTCTCAATATCTCCGGCTAGGGTATGCATGTCTTGAAGGTAGGGAGGATTCAGAACATTGTGTATCTTATACATATATGTGTGTGTATGTGTGTATGTATACACACATATACAAATGCGTGTATAAATATATACATTTATATGTGCATATACATACACACACACACACACACACACACACACACACACACACCAGAACTTTAATCAGACCTGTGTGAAGTAAGTGAATGAATGCAGACCACTTCAGTAGATTTAGCATTATAGCTCATTCTGGTAGCTGTACTTCCTCAGTGGAGACAGATAAACATCATTAGTAGATTCAGGGAAGACATATAAAGGAAGTCTCCCTGCCCTGAGGGAATATCTATCATTGTCTTGAATCTGACATCTACACTTGACTTCAAAGGGGATAGATGGCATGTATTTACTCAGTGAAGAAGTAGTCATTGTTTCCCAGGTGGATGCTGGGTAATTTCAGTGGGTGCACATAGGGTCAATTGCTAGATACCATCTAGCATCATTCTTCCCATAACCCTGTAAGGCAACACCCCTCTCCTATATGCCCATGGCATGTGTAAGCAAACTGGGACATGGAAAAGCTAAGCCACCTACCTAAGGTCACAAGGGCACAGAATGGCAGAGCCTGTCTTGACCCAGGCCAGCTAGCACCAGCCTTTAACATCAAAGTCAGGCTTTAAAACATGAAACCTTCCCTGCTGGGTAGCCTTAGCTCAAAAGACGGTGTCTTTGGCCTTTGTCCAAACACATGCTACCAGCCCATTCTAAAAGACTGAAACAGCATGGAGTATACATTTCTGAGGTCACTAAAAAGGGGAAAATGCTATGCCCTGAAGCATTTCCATGTGAACTCAAACTGATGCTGCTGTGTACTTAATTAGACAAAAGTCAGAGTGAACTATGTAAAATTCAGTCTCTGAACACTATTTCCCAAAATTGTGCCCCTGACCCACTGGGAAGACACATCTTGACCTTTCGTACTGAACTTGGCAATGGACCAATGCTGCTGGCCACACAGAGCAAGTGTTTATAGCACCTCAAAAACACCATTAGGCAATGTGTGGACAATGTGACACACGCATTGAATGAAAGGGTTAACTGCCAAAGACCATCAAAAAATGATTTTGTATCCATATCAAAAGTATCTGAGTGAAAGATGCCTATTACAAGGCTATTGGAATATTTGGATCCATTTGGGCAAAGACAGGAAGGCACAGGTCTCTGGAAGATCAGCCTCCTTGACATACACAATTTTACCTGTCCTCACCATCTCTGACCACCTCTCCTAATCTCTCTCCATCTCTTTCCATCTCTACCCTCTACCAGGCCCCATCTCCTTTCTTTCTTTCTTTCTTTCTTTCTTTCTTTCTTTCTTTCTTTCTTTTTTTCTTTTTCTTTTCTTCCTTCCTTCCTTCCTTCCTCCTAAAAATTGTTTTCAGAGCTCTCAGAAGATGGCTACCCAACCATCTTGGTATTCATACCTAACATATCTGAGCTAGAGGGGCCCAAAGGGGGCACCCAGTCTCCTGTAGGCGTTGGGCCTGGCAGAATTCCCTCCTCCTTCCTTTCTTCCTCCCTCCCTTCCTTCCTCCCTCCTTCCTTCCTCCCTTCCTCCCTCCTTCCTCTTTCCTTCCTCCTTCCTTCCTTCCTCCTTCCTTCCTTCCTCCCTCCCTCCCTTCCTCCTTCCTTCCTTCCTTCCTCCATCCCTCCCTTCCTCCTTCCTTCCTTCCTTCTTCCTTCCCTCCCTCCCTTCTTTCTTTCCTTCCTCCTCTTTCTTGATCCATCAACCTCTCTCATATTCACTTTCCCACACTCAAGAAGTTGTGCTCACCTCCCAACTCCATGCTGAGATTTTGTCTGTCTTGAGCTTGCACAGGTTGTGTGCACACTGTCACAACCTATATGACTTCATATGTGCAAATGTCCTGTTGTGTCTGAAAAATTGTTTCCTTATACTCATCAACTGCCTCTGGCCCTCACAATCTACCTGCTCTTCCCCAGGATCCCTGAGCCTTGGGGAGAGGGGTGTGATATCAATGTTCCATTTAGGGTGAAGCACTTTGCAGTTTCTTATACTCTGTATAATGAAAAGTTGTTGGTCTCTGTTAATTGCCACCTACTGCATAAAGAAGGTTCTCTGATGAGGGTTGAGATGCACTAATCTATGGGTATAATGATAAGCCATTAGGAGGTAAGTTTAATGTTGTGTGCATTTAGCAAAGTAGTATTTCCTACTTTGTAGTGGTATAGTGAGTAGAGTAGTAGGATCTCTCCTAGGGTCTATGGCTGATCTAGGGACAACTTCTTGACCCCCAAAACAGTGCCAAAAAGCTTTGTGCCAGGAACAGGTTACTTCTTTTGGAGCTGTTGGTTGGCGTTGGAGACCGCAAGATGTTAGAGATGCTAGGGCTGAAAGACATCTGCCAAGGAGAGCTAAATACAGGGAGTGGGACCAGTCCAAGAAAGAGATGTATGTTGTATGCAGCAAAGTTGGAGGCTGAGTCATCTAAGCCCTTTGGAAGTAAAATCACAGAGGTTAGACATGGAGATACTAGATTTGGTGTTATCCCTGATGGTTTTTGGTCTTGTTTTGGTCCAGAATTTCCTCACTATGCCCCAATTCCTCCCTTTTGGAATGGGAATATGTATTGGGTTCCACTGTATGTTTGAAGTATTCATAATTTGTCTTTTGATTTTACAGGGGCTTATAGTTAAGAGATTGCCTTGAGTCTCAGAACTGAGACTCTGGACTCTGGACTTTTGGATAGTACTGAGACTGGTAAAGACTATAGGGACTTTTGAAGGTGGACTAAATACATTTTTCATTTTTTTTACTTAATTAAAAGAAGCATTTCATTACAACAGCATTAACCTATTCAATAATATTTTTCTGAGCTAGGGTACATCTCTTTCAAAATTGGCTGTACATTTCTAGGTTTACAGATGAATTATTACACTTATATAATCTTTTACTCATTATAAACTCTATAAGACATAAAATTAAATGAGGTTCCAACATTTAAAAAAGATCTCCACTTCGTTGTCAAAACACACAGTTTCATACAGAAAAATTCATTCCAAGCCTATTGACAT